ATGATATAGTGTTGTATATGGTGTATGGGATGATATAGTGTTGTATACAGGTCCTTCTAAAAAAATTAGCATATTGTGATAAAGGTCATTATTTTCCATAATGTAATGATAAAAATGAAACTTTCATATATTTCAGATTCATTGCACACCAACTGAAATATTTCAGGTCTTTAATTGTTTTAATACTGATGATTATGGCATACAGCTCATGAAAACCCAAAATGCCTGTCCCAAAAAATTAGCATATTTCATCCCACCAATGAAAGACAAGAGTTTTTAATACAAAAAACGCCAACCTTCAAATAATCATGTTCAGTTATGCACTCAATACTTGGTCAGGAATCCTTTTGCATGAATGACTGCTTCAATGCGGCGTGGCATGGAGGCAATCAGCCTGTGGCACTGCTGAGGTGTTATGGAGGCCCAGGATGCTTCGATAGCGGCCTTAAGCTCATCCAGAGTGTTGGGTCTTGCATCTCTCAACTTTCTCTTCACAATATCCCACAGGTTCTCTATGGGGTTCAGGTCAGGAGAGTTGGCAGGACAATTGAGCACAGTAATACCATGGTCAGTAAACCAGTTACCAGTGGTTTTGGCACTGTGAGCAGGTGCCAGGTCGTGCTGAAAAATGAAATCTTCATCTCCATAAAGCTTTTCAGCAGATGGAAGCATGAAGTGCTCCAAAATCTCCTGATAGCTAGCTGCATTGACCCTGCCCTTGATAAAACACAGTGGACCAATACCAGCAGATGACATGACAACCCAGTGACTGTGGAAACTTGACACTGGACCTCAAGCAATGTGAATTCTGTGTCTCCTCTCTTCCTCCAGACTCTGGGACCTTGATTTCCAAAGGAAATGCAAAATTTACTGTAATCAGAGAACATAACTTTGGACCACTCAGCAGCAGTCCCAGGCAAGATGCTTCTGACCCAGTCTCTTGTTCAAGAGTGGCTTGACCTGGGGAATGCGGCACCTGTAGCCCAATTCCTGCACACGCCTGTGCACGGTGGCTCTGGATGTTTCTACTCCAGACTCAGTCCACTGCTTCCGCAGGTCCCCCAAGGTCTGGAATCGTCCCTTCTCCACAATCCTCCTCAGGGTCCGGTCACCTCTTCTCGTTTTGCAGCGTTTTCTGCCACACTTTCCCCTTCCAACAGACTTCCCACTGAGGTGCCTTGATACAGCACTCTGGGAACAGCCTATTCGTTCAGCAATTTATTTCTGTGTCTTACCCTCTTGCTTGAGGGTGTCAATGATGGCCGTCTGGACAGCAGTCAGGTCGGCAGTCTTACCCATGATTGAGGTTTTGAGTAATGAACAAGGCTGGGAGTTTTTAAAAGCTTCAGGAATCTTTTGCAGGTGTTTAGAGTTACGTCGTTGAATCAGATGGTTAGGTTAATAGCTTGTTTAGAGAACCTTTTCATGATATGCTCATTTTTTTGGGACAGGCATTTTGGGTTTTCATGAGCTGTATGCCATAATCATCAGTATTAAAACAATTAAAGACCTGAAATATTTCAGTTGGTGTGCAATGAATCTGAAATATATGAAAGTTTCATTTTTATCATTACATTATAGAAAATAATGACCTTTATCACAATATGCTAATTTTTTGAGAAGGACCTGTATGGTGTATGGGATGATATAGTGATGTATATGGTGTATGAGATGATATAGTGTTGTATATGGTGTATGGGATGACAGTGTTGTATATGGTGTATGGGATGATATAGTGTTGTATATGGTGTATGGGATGATATAGTGTTGTATATGGTGTATGGGATGATATAGTGTTGTATATGGTGTATGGGATGACAGTGTTGTATATGGTGTATGGTATTCTGTAAAGAACAATGCCATTATTGAAGACAGTCATTCACATTTATTAATTGAGGTGTGAGGGAGGACTCACATGGAGAGAAGTCATAATACAGAGGATCAATGTTGTGCAGCAGCTCCAGTCTGGGTGAGGCCAGCCCTTTGCTGTAAGATAAAAGCAGAGTTTCTGTAAAATGTACAGCCAGCACACATGCACCATGGAGGCTGACTCATGCACAGAGAAACCCACTGGGATCAGTCAATCTGAACCACACTCCACCACTCACACTGACCACAGCTCTGATATCTTCAGAATAAGTGGCTCTGCGCCGCCTGCTGGCTGCTTCATTCTGTCCGTCTGCTGCTGCTGTTAACGGGCAATTTGCTTCAAACCAAGTGAAGCTGCAAAGCAGCAAAGACCAGAAGCAGATTTTCTCTTCCATGATTGTGCAGTTCAGATGGCAGCGCCAGCAGCTGGCGGTCAGCTGACCTGCAACGACCAGCTCGATCCAGGCAGCCTGTAAGTGGTACTTTGTGGTCCAGGCCAAGCCTGGAGTTTTTCTGCTGCAGCCCTGAGTTTCACCTCATTCCTTGTGTCCTAATGTAGTTTACGGATATCATGTGTCAGTCAGACGGTGGTCCCTGACAGCTGGTGGGACGACCCAAACTCACATGGAAGTACATCTGCGGTCTGAAAACATCTTTGTGTGGCCCATTAATTAACCTAAAGTCAGTGCAAAGTGAGGATACATTACGTGTGATACATTTAGCACTTTGAGCTGAATTACAGTATGTCAGGTATGTTGCTTCAGGGAAAATGTTCTAGCAGCAGAACGCCACAGGCAGGAAAGAAAAGACAGACTAAAGACTTGTGTAAGAAAGACTGAAGGCGTTTCCTCCTCCTTCAATCCAAAGCAACACAAGAGTGAAGGAGGAGGAACAGAGTCAGGGCCAGGAGAAGCTGAACACAGAGGACACTGGCTGAAGAAGACACTGGAGCACAAAGAAGGTCGTCAGAAACAAGAGAACAGGCCTCAAAACTCAAAACTCCACTTCAGTCCAAGCTTTGAGGAACTCCAGACCTTCCAACAGCATACTGGGGGTTTCTCGTGTCCTGGAGACACATCTCACTGTACAGGCATCATTCCGGACACCGTGCAGACAAACACCCACCTGATGGTGCTCCACATGTCGAAGCCGTCCAGCGGCTTGGTGCCGTTAGTCCTCCCACCTGCCAGGTGAACCAGAGTGGGTAGCCAGTCAGAGATATGGATCAGTTCACGGCTGGTGGTGCCGGCTTTCTCCAGCAGTGAGCTGGAGACGAAGCCCACACCCCGGACCCCTCCTTCCCACAGGGATACCTTCCTTCCCCGCAGAGGCCAGTTGCTGCCACCAGCTAAGGTCTGACCCCCGTTATCTGCCGGGAAACAAAATGAGAAGGAAAATCATGAACTTGATGTTTCTAAACATTGATTGAAGAAGAAACACCTGTGGGACCGTTCAGAAGCGAAACAAAGGTAAAGAGATGTTTTCAACTTCAACGTTAAATGTTGTCTTGACATTTTATTGCAACTGAAGCAAATGAGCAGAAAACTGAACATTTGTCAAAACAGAATGCGTCATCCCAAGGGCGTCACAAGCATCTATAATGAGGGGGGACACGACCCCTTCACATATGGAATATCTTACAAAAAGCCCTGAAGCTCTCGACCTCTCTAAGAATCAGTTGGACTCCTGACAAGGACCGATGCAGACATGTTCCTGTTTTGAGTTTTCTACATTTCTCTTATAATCTCAATGTTTTTGTTACTTTTTGCATCTTATAATAATTTGTATAAAAAAAGAAAAGAAAATCTGTATGCCTCTTTTATAATTGTCTGTTGTTGTCGCTGTTGTCATCATTCTTTGTTAAATCAGGTCTCTGTTGTAAATGAGTCCTCGAGCTCAGTGGGACCAACCTGCAGAAATAAAGGTTGAATGAATATAATGGTTGTGACACCCATGTGTCATCCACAGTTTAACCTAAGAGACAGAAAGATATACGAGTCTTTATTCATAAAAAACGAGTGTTTGACACCAATTATGTAAAAGACTAAACGTTTATTGACTGTGACATCATCTGCTCTGATGTCATTTGGTATGGCTGATGAATAAACACAAAAAAACAAGAAACTTTAGTTTTTTATGTTTAAATGTTCTTGATTTTATATGTACAGCACTTTGTTGCAGCTGTGGTTGTTTTAAAGGGCTTTATGAATAAAGTATAATCATTATAAAAATACAGCGGTACGCCCATGTCCCCGTCACTGACGGGTGTGAACAGCGCATGCTTGTAGTTTTCCAGATGAGTGTTTTTCTGGACTGGAACTGAAGAGAGGAGGAGGTAAACCTACATGTCTAATGTTTGAACCATGACGTGGGCAGACGTTCAGCTGTGGACAACTGACGTCGTTTCTTCTTGTCTGAGGCAGCGCAGAGTGACGGATCCTGGTGAGGACACCACCACCAAGAGCAGAGGTGGAGCCAGGGGGTGGCCCACGGCCCCCATAGATTAGTCTTCGGCCACCCTAAGAGCCACCCAATTTATTTGAGGAAATTACACTTTAAAGCAAAATAAAAACTAGAAAGCAGTTTCTTCGAATGATTGGGATGGTTGGTTTACAACCAGCAGCAGCAACACGTCGAACTCGTTAACACTCATGAAACGACATCATCCAAACGTGAACTAGTTTAGTTCAAAGAGCGAGAACATCATCATTTAAACAAACTTTATCAGGTCATTCAGGTCGGTCCAGAGCAATAACACAAGCTGTAGGAGTTTTTAAAGCTCTGGATCCACGTCTGAATGTTGTTGATGTGCCAACTTTAATATAAAGTTCTTGAACCTCACTGCCTACGACATCCCATCACATCAACACGTCAGCCAAACAGTTGTAGCAGCACTTTATGAAAAAGCTAAAACCACTATTGTCAACAAGATATTGAGTGTGTCCACTGTGTCTCTCACCACAGATGGATGGACATCACGAGCAACAGAGAGCTATGTACAGTAACTCTAACTGTACACTGCATTACACCAGAGTGGGACATGGCGAGTCACGTTTTACAAACCAGGGCTGTTTATGAGCAGCACACTAGCACCAACCTTACAGAGCACCTGAAGGAGGCGCTGCATGAATGGAAGCTGGAGAGACCTGGGACCACTATTCCTGTTACACGTATCTCCAACATTAAAGACACGTATCTCCAACATTAAAGACA